TTAAATATGAGCAGGTTGTTTATGTGGTCAGTGTCCTACAATTAGATAGGCCAAGGTGCCCGAGCTGTGGGATCTAAATAACTGAAAGAGAGTGAAGCAAGGAGGCTGTCCACGCTACGGCCTGCGGAGGAGGGCTTATTTGTAGGGAAAAATATCTGGAAAACTTTTCTGAAAGTACTAGCCACGTGCCAACCTATARTGTGTWAAGCTATATATGTCTTTTTCCCKCTTCCAAACCAACAGAGCCGGATGCCATCTCWGAGCTGGACGTGGTTGGTGCTGCCTCTTTACTGCRGGTTGTGGACAGCCCTGCTTGCAAYGCTAGACCAGAACTAGCTGGGGAAGAGGCTGTTGAAAGCTGCTGATGTCAGGTTGCCAGGCTGGCACAGAGCGAGCAGCGAGATGGAAGGAATGCTGCTGCTATAGGTTTTMGGAAGAAAAAGGCTTTTCTCCCCCAGAGAAGCTGTATTGACRTGTTTAAAAGATGCTGCTCAAGAAGGATAAGGGCACCGTCCCGTTTCGGTGTCTCCCATGGGAAGGGCAGCTGTGCTTCGTGCTGCACGGCTGGGCTGCTCCTGGACTGGGCTCGGAGAATCATTTTCCTCGCAGAAATGCRGTGCAAGTCGAGACACTTAAAGGACCTGGTTTGTGCCCAGATGGCTGCGTTACCTCCTGTCGCAGCAGCTCCCAAAACCTGGAGTGACGGGTGTAGATAGCGCTGGCTTCGCTGCAATCCCCCTGGAGCCCTTTGCTGTAAAGGTCCTTCCTGCCAGGTCGATGCCCTTGTTTTGCCCTCGGGGATTCTGCTGCCGCATCCTTCAAGCTCTAGAGCGAAGCGGGTCATGAATCACTCCCTTAAGAGCATGTTGTCTGTACTTTTTTTTTTATTGCTTTTTACAAAATCAATTTTTATGATGGCATGCCTGTAAGATTATTTGAGGTCAAAATGTAGCAAGCTAAGTGGAGTATCCCAATGAAAGGGCGCTATGTTGAGTGCCATTATGTCACATCTTTATGATGAATGACTGAATAAAGGAGCTGATGTGGAGTTTGCATCCATCAGCCTCGTACAAAATGTAGTTGAATCATCACCACCACTATTGCTCATAGTGGCGTCTGTCATTCCCCGCACCTTTCCCCGGCCTTTGGGGACACTGGAACATCCCGTCCTGCTTTACTTGGAAAAGTGACACTAGTAATTCCTGGCACTGYGTGTGTCCTGGATGTAAATACTGCGCTGGCAGTCGCTGGTGCTGCTGTGACTCGCTCCTCTTTAATTGTAAGGRCAGGGGTGAGGAACGCGCTCCTTTTGAAAGGCTATAATTTGAAAGAGTCTCTTGCAGACTTCGATTCCATGAACCCTGYTGCACCCTCATCTTAGTAAGCAATTAAAAATGTTGATGATCTTTATCTGCCGGTTGAGATTGCTGCAGCCCACAGACTAGGAGGATGTGGTGATGTTGTGCGATGGTCTGAAGTACCTGCTGGGCACCTTGGGGATGGGTAGATCTGAAAATTGTGTTGCATAGCCTCAGCCTAGCAGTTTCTGGCTTAATACACACCTTAAAGTCACTGTAAAGCGGGTTTTTTTTTTTTTTTTTCCTTTCTTTCTCAAGAAAAGAGCCATTTTTAGCATCGGGCAGCAGCCCTGGTCAGACGCTCACTCCTGAGATGACACGGCCCTTCTGAAAACCACTCACCTTTCTTTTTGCAGTGGTTTTGTCATGTGGAGCCTAATTACAGGCAAGCCTCGGAGTGCCCTTGTGTGCCCTTCGCCCTTCGCAGCAAACCTGCAGTGCACCACGTTCCTGCAAGGACAGCCTGGATGCTGGGAGCGAGGGAATTCACACACACGTGAACAGCGGAGCAGGACCACTGTTTTTCGCAGAAGACCCGCTCATTAAGTTATTTACAGGCCCTTGCATGAGCCTGGGCGCTGTTTTGTCTGCAGACGACACAAATACGGGGCAGGGCAAAAAAAGCCCACCGTGCAGTGTTGTCGTGGGCCTCTAAATACAGCGCGCAGGAGATGAGCGTGGCGCTGGGCGCGCGGGACAGCAGCCTGTGTCTCCCGCCGCCCTTAATCGCCGGCCGCCCAGGGAGTGTTTTGCCAGCCTGGGTGTCTGGGCTGCGCTCGCGTGCTGGGAGACAGGCTGGCAGCGGCCGTAAGCCGAAACCCGGCTCCCTGCAGAAGAAGGGGGCTCATCCCTGTAAGAGGAGAGGGGCTGACGTGGAGGCATGCGTGTTTCCTAATTTAAAAGGGGTTAYGGTTCTGTCAAAATAGGCTGGCGCATTCCGCGTGCTGGGGCTGTCTGCGGTCTGTGCCGCAGCCCGCGCGCCGCGGCGCGGGCGGCCAGCGCGACTCCTGCGGGTATTTCGGTGCTCTGTTTGCTGACCTTCCTTAGTGTCAGCTGACAGCTAACTGCGCTACCGTGCTGGTTATTTTGAAGGGCTCRCACGTCTGCAGCAGCGAGCAGCGCGGCGGCGAGTTTCAGACGCGCTCGTCTCGCTACCATTAAACCTGACCTGCATGACTCATGCCGCCAGCACGCGGGGAATGTATTAATAGCTATTGCTCGCTATTGCTCGCCTATCAAGTACGGGATTATCAGAAAATAGCAGCGGGCCCATGCGACTGGCTGCGCGTTGTTTACAGGGATCGRGATATCTCCGCGGGAGCCCGCGGCGCGGGCGCACTTGCTGCCGCAGCCCGCGCGGCCGGCGGCCTCCCCGGAGCTATGAGAGCTGAGGAAGAGCCCGGAGATGGAGCAGGCGCCGCGGGGGAGCCGCGACGGGGCCGGCGGGCAGTGAGCGCGCGGCCGTAGGGCCGGCCCATGCCCGCGGCCACCACCATGAGCCGCTGGTTTGCGTGCGCAGCCAAGGACGCGGTGGGTATCGGCGGGCGGGCGCAAACGCTTGGCAGCCGCTCTGCGGCCGGTCCGTTTGAATGAACGGGTCGGCTTCCCCCGGGACGGTGGTGCTGAGTTTGCTCGTGCTAATGGGGTGGGCGTGTGTGGAAGTGGTGGCTGCGCGGCCGCTGACGAGCGGGACTGGCGCTCCGTGGAGCAGGAACGCGGTGCGGCCGAGCTGCTCCTGGGCACATACCCTTCCCCGGCCACCTCTTCTAAAAGGCAAAGCAGAGCTTGCAGAGTAAGGTGGCAGGAGGAGGCTTCCCGGCGTGCAGAGCAGCGTTTCCCTCCCTGCAAGGAGCCTTCCCGTAAGGACGAGCAGGTCTGCCCCTCGGCCCGGGGCTGCAGGGCAGCAATGGTCAGACTGGGTCACAGTCACAGCTGTCTCAAAACGCTCTGTTTTTCCTGCTTTGAGTCACCTCTAGCAAGTATTTAGCAACTGCCCAGAGAGGGAGCTCTCCCCTCTGGCTTCTCCAGACCTTATTATTATTAAAAACTGAACTCAGTGTGGTTTTGTTGTGAAATAATATAACATGTTTTCTCGCATGATGACTGTACATAAATATAAATATTTATCTTCTATTACTATATATATTTAACTGCTTTCATGAAACTGCCTGGTTTCATGGAAAGTTTTAATAAAACTTTCCTATCATGGGCTTGGCACTTTAAAGTGGGGAAAGATGATGATATGATAAAGTAAAAATAAACTATTGCATTAATGGGATACTTTCTCACTTGTAATAAAAAAAGAAAATTAGGTTTTTGTTGGCTGATGTATTTTGGAAATCACTATGTTTACTAATTTTCCTATTCCTTATTCAGCAAGACAAGGTTCTTGTCACTCTAATGAGGAGCAGCCTAGTGCAGCTGTGAATTGCTTAGAGGTCCCTGTTTGCAGTGACTTCCAAGGCTCGTCTCCGTGTGTCTAGCTAAGCTGGAGTCTAATGTTCCTTCAGGAGCCTTGCTCTTGTCAGAAACGCCTCAAACAGAGTCAGTGGTAGCTTCATCTTGACCATGCTGGTCACATCGCACAGCAGAACTCGCTGAAAAGCTAAGGCTTTTGGAAGGGCTTGGCTTGGCCATATAAGGAGCGGGCTCAGTTTTGGGGTAGAGTGCTKGCGTGTGGCTTTAAATAACATATTTGCATTAAGAAGGGAAAAAGTGAGGGGTGACTAATGTCTGAGCTCGGGAGAGCGTGTGGCCAGCTATTTATAACAGCCTCTTGCTTTCCTTGCAAGCCCGCATAGCTTTGGGCATCGCCGAGCGCTTGCAGCTCTCGGCTCTTCTCCTTAGACAGCTCGGTGGATTTTTACCTCTAGGATGTCGCCCTTGGCCCGCTCAAACCTTCACGCTCTCCGAAAAACCAACGTCCGTCGGAGTGATGGAAACTGGAGCTGCTGATCACCTGCAGCTCRTAACGGTGGTCACTGGTGGGCCCATAACGCTGGCTTGTGTCCACCGAGCTCTCCTATGTCACCTTTATGGGGGGAAAAAAATATATATATATATATACACACACACACCTGCAAATAGGTGTGTGCAGATGGAAAAATTCTATTAGCTTTGTTTTCTCTGCTTGTGGGGGGAAGAAGATAAACGAATGCTGAAAATGCTGAAAAACCTCTTCTGAAGATGATTCAGACAAAAGGAGCAGCACATTTTTTGGYTCTTACTAAGGCATTTGCACTTGCAGGGCTACTTTTAGCTCTTGCTTTTCCCCTGCCTTGCTGTTTATGTCTTGCTTGCAGCGTGTAGGGCYTGGGATGGGCACAAATACTTAATGCACAGAAATGAGCTGTTTTGTTATGATTTCCTTTTGGGTGTATTGGGTGTAAGGGGTCTGCCGTGGGTACCGAGGGACTGAACCGGGCCCCAGCGAGCAGGGTGCATAAAGAGCCAAGAGCACAATTGAAATCCCGTAGTTATGTATGTAAACATGTGTCTTAAATGCTGCAGCTTAATTTGCAAACAAAGGCTTCTTTTTTTGTTCCCTGGAAATAACATAAAACTTGGCCTTTTATTGAARGTGCTTTAGTAGGTTCATATTGCACGTAAGCTCACCACGTTTTCTATCTATGTCTCATACAGCAGAATRCAGACTGGAACAAGTATGATGACAGGCTCATGAAAGCAGCCGAAAGGGGCGATGTGGAAAAGGTGTCCTCGATCCTGGCGAAAAAAGGCGTCACTCCCACGAAACTGGATGTGGAAGGGCGGTCTGCGTAAGTACCGCCCCGCGCACGTGCTGCGGAACCTGGGGCAAGTCCTCGCTCCTTGAAAAAACATCTCTTTTAATAAAATCTGTGTAATACTGTGTGGACTGTAGCCTCGTCTGAACCAATTAATGCAAGTTTTTGATTTGCAATTGCACTTGGAAAAACGCATTGCTTGTAGAGCATAGTGAAAGGAGCAGAGAARGGAGAAAGCCTCTCTGAACAGACAAATAATTAGATTATCAGCTGCAATGTGAGTTATGAAGAAAGCTAATTTTTAACATCCTAAACYTTTGGTTTCTGGGACTCTATTGCTGACAGATGCTGCTGATAGAGACCCCTCCTGGTCGCTTTCCTCTGCTCTGAGCATCCTCACCAGGCTTGCAGTGATGTCCACCTTTGGCTGCAGCTAGTCCTGGCATGACTTGCTAGTTACAAATGCTGGTGTCTGTCAGTAACCTTAGGATGGCTGGAGCAGAAGATAATGGTGGAATTAATTAGCAGGTTTCATGAAAGGGGCACAGAGAAGGAACTTCTTTCTTTCCATCCTTAATTTAGGAGCCTAAATAACTGTGTATATTATAGAGATTCTGAAAATGTTCATATTGACCCTTCTTTCTCATGCAGTTTCTAGAAGGCATGTCTGCAAARAGATGGTTAGAATTCCAGACAGCCAGAATGTCAAATTCTGATGAAAAAACAACAAGCACACCTTTAGTATTTAAATACTTGCTCTTGCTAAATTTGATGTGAAAGAAGAAATGGAAAACGTGCTGTTATTCTGCTTGATTAGCTCATTCAGGCTAAATGATGACCGCTTTGGAGATTCCTCTTGTTCCTCTGCAGTAAAATCTACAGAGCTCTTAACTCCGTTTGGTCACTGCTAAACTGAATTGGAATAATACTTGAGTATCCTTTGCTTTGCTTTGACTTTTCTACTTAAAATTATTCCCTTTTGTCTTGTGTGTAGCACAGCTGTGMTGAAGGTGTCTTCTCTTTCTAGGTTCCACGTTGTGGCGTCCAAGGGAAATCTGGATTGCTTGAATACGCTCCTGCTGCAGGGAGCGGATATCACGGCCACGGACGCCGCGGGTACGCTGCCCTCGCGCACCCGCCGAGGCTCTCAGCTCCAACTTTATTTTGCGTTAAGGTTAAGCCAAGGCTTAGGATAGATGTCCTTCCCTTTTGTAGAGTTTTCTGTGCTTGCTTATGGCTCGGTTTAGAGGAAGCTGATGTCCTGTCACGTAGCTTCATGAGTGCTCCCCAATGTTAATTTTGGCTCTTCTGCTGTAACTGCAGGCGACTCCCCTCTCACTGTTGACATCTGTTTCTCCAGTTTAGGATAACTCCTATGTGGAGTTGCAGTATTTTGAGATGAATTTTACTGTACTTAACTTGAATCTTCACTTGGACTAGATGATCCCTAGAGGTCCCTTCCAACCTCAACCAATGTGGGATTCTGTGATTCACTTGTAGCTTTTCTAAATTAAGCAAGAAGATAGTTTAGCAAAGGGAGTGAAGTAAATATTAGATTTATCTAAATCTAAATATTAGATGATTTATAGTACTGACTGAATTGGAGAGAGGGGAAAAAATATATATAGGTTTAAAGGTATGAAGCTGTAGACCTAAACTGCCTCTTGTCCTGGAATCAGTCTAGCACTTGGAGGGCAATTATGTGACTCAGTGCCTCTCTGTGTCCAGTGCATGATAACCACTAATGTGGCATATGGAATTGTGGAGGAAGCAGAGTTTGAGTTCAGATGAAAAACTCTTATAAAACCGTCAGTGAAGGATAAACTTACTAATCATATAACATTCATTTATAAGAAGCAATGTAGGCATGCAGAGTTTGTGTGTGCTTTTTCAAATGCACGTACAAGATAGGTCCTGAATCTGCTCTTGTTCTCCTTATAGGTCGAAATGCATTGCACCTAGCTGCGAAATATGGACATGCCTTATGTTTGCAGAAGCTATTGCAGGTACTGATGAATGTAACTCGGCACCCTTTACTCTTAAAGGAAGAAAAAGGAGCTCTTACTTCAACATTAAACATATGTATTTATTACTTTTTTTTCCTTTTTTTAAAAGTGAGAGTCAAAATAAGTTCTGGCTGAAAGTGCTAAGATCAGGAAAATAAACATCTCTGTGTGTTGTGCACAAACACTTGAAATTTTAGCAGAAATTGAGTGATTGCAGAGTTTTCYGCAGTCTTGATTTACTTTTAAAACTTTTGTGACTAGTTTGAAGTACTAGAATGCTTGCATCCGTGAATCTCTCTTCATGTATGTCAGTATACCTGAGAACTATAAAACCCATTCTTTTTTTCCTATTAAATGACTAACTAAAACTCGAAGTGATTTCATGTTTTATAAATGCTGTTTCAATCCTATCTGAAGCTGAATTATCTATTTTAACAGTACAATTGTCCAACTGAAAATGTGGATCTTCAAGGAAGAACCGCTCTCCATGATGCAGGTAAAAGGCCTTGCTTTTCTGGTGACTGTGGAATCAAATCCAGTAAGAAGGGGCTTTGCTGCATTAAGCCTCTTGGGAAGAGGATAAACGTACTGAAGAGGGGTTTGGGGTCTCGCGAAGCTCTGCTCAGCAATGTAACTTGCTCCTTTCTTCTCTTGAAAGCTATGTCAGACTGCTCCTCCAGCATACAGCTCCTGTGTGACCACGGGGCCTCCGTGAATGCGAAAGATGGGGTAAGGTCCTACTCACATCTCTCGCCTGTTTGAATCCAGCTGGGGTTCTGGTGCTTTCTCTCCTTTCTCCCCCTTTCCTCATTTATTTCCCCATTTTCTGTCTTCAGGATGGGAGGACACCGTTAGTGCTGGCCACTCAGATGTGTCGTCCTGCGATTTGTCAGCTCCTAATAGACAGGGGAGCAGAGGTTAACGCCAGGGACAAGCAGAACAGGTAGGGTGAGCAGTGGGGCCGGTGACGCTCCCAAGGAGAGGCTCTCCTTGGCTTTCAGGAAATAGGTTCAAACTCGTCTGAAAAGGCTCCTAAAGTGTGACTTAATCCAGCAGTACATGTGCCAATTTAATCATGCAAGTAAATGTGGCCCTTTAATTGCTTGTTCGTGCATCTAAAATATGAATTGGCTTATGTGAAAGTACTGTGTGTTGCTGGCTGCAGAGAAGCAGAAGTTGCCTCTGTTAAAATTCCATCTCTCCCCTCTTATTCCAGCTGCTCCCTGCAGCTTTTGTTATGATCCATTTTGTGCCTATTGATTCCCAAAGGGGCACTCTGCAGAAGTGCCCTGGCTTCCTAAGGGAACATTTCAGAGCATTTAGGCCCTTTGCCTGTACATGCGGGTCTATGTGCAACCATTTCTTTCCCGGTTATCTCTTAGAGGATGACTGCCCCTGTGTCCCTGTGGCCTGGCCAGGGCACTTGCTGCTTGCATGGCCTTTGCTGAGCCTGGCACGATCCTTTGGAGCGGATTGTCAGGGCTTGCAAACACCTGCTCAAACTGGCTGAACTATCTTTCATCTCGGGTTCGTCGTTCATATTTAAATCATGACCCAAAATCATACGTGTGCTCAAAATACAGAGTGGCGTTCTCAAAAGCAAGAGGTTCATGGGTGGGTTTTTAATTTGTTTCTCTTTATAAAAATATTTAAAGCTGACTTAAAACTTGCTGTCCTCTCTTGAAAGAGGGCCGAGCTGTGACTGAAGTGCCTGTGATTAGGCGTAAGGCGTGTGGGAAGGATTACCCTGTGCCTGGTCGCTCCATCTCTGAATGCCTCTTTCTTCCCCATTCCCAGGACTGCCTTAATGTTAGGCTGTGAATACGGCTGCAAGGATGCAGTAGAAGTGTTGCTCAGAAATGGGGCGGATGTTAGCTTGGCTGATGGCCTTGGTCATGACTGTGCTTACTATGCCAGAATTGGTGACAATATTGACATTTTGGCTTTAATAAAAGCTGCCGTTGAGGATTCCAGCAAAGGTATGAAGAACACTGCTGTAACTGGTTGCTGTTRTTTTTTTCTCTTGTGTTGTGCATGGTTTGGTGTTCAGAAACCTGCTCTTTGCAGGGCAGCCGTAATTTTTAAACAAAAATCTGCATGTGGGAGGAAAGTGTGTTTTCTTTTTCTTTGGTCTAACTTTTAAAGCTGATACCTGCTGTGAAGTCATTAGGTACAGGGTATTAATCTTTCTGCACTGGTAATCATGGGAGTTTTACCTTGGACTTATAAATGTTGTTTTTCAGTTAATCAAAACAGCAATCTCTTTCTTGAAATATCTCCTCAAGATAAGAACTTAAGTAAAATAGCTGAGTAAGCACTGCACAAAGCTGAACGAAACACATTTGAAGTTCCCAATTTCTGTCATTTCTTTCTCAGCAAGGGATATCGCGAAGAAAGGGCAACTTGARCAAAAGGTGAGGCTTTTTCTGCTATGTATCTCTAACGTTATCTTCCTGGAAGGCACGAGAGGGCGTGTGGCACCAGTGCAGTTTCACTCTGCTGTGTCATTATTTCTTCCTGTCCTCCCCACGCCTCCCTCCCAGCTCAGCCCTGCAAACAGGGCTCTTGGAGCCTCTGTTCATCATCAGTAATTTCCCTGCTGGTGGGAGCTGAGGCTGAGCGAGGAGCTGCCTTTGGCACGTCCCTACTGCCCAGAGTGAAGCTGTGCAGTCTTAGCTATCCTCGCAGCACTTGCTAAGCTTTTTTTAATTGGGGTGTTCAGTATGAGTCACACAAGAAACGATCTTGGGAGTTATGGTGTGAATTTACTGCAATTTTTCTTTACTGCTGTGCAGTAAATAGCCTGTAAGTAATAAAGGCCCAGCAGGCCTGATGCTTTGGTTTATGCTACATGTTTATATTGCACATCACACAACGTTCTGCACTTCTGGGTCATAAGTAGTGGCAAGTTTCCGTAGCTATATRTTGAAATAAAACTGCTATGAAGCTTCTCTGCGGAGCAGATGGCTCCGTGTGCGTTTCTGTTTGAAAACACTTTGTTGGACATTCAACAAGTTGGATGTTCAACAAGTTACCCCTGGACGGGACTGGGAGATATGTAACTCCTCATGAGAAGCAGACTGAGCAAAATGGGAATTTTCAGTAGTGTTGCCTCTTGGTGGAAGCTGAAGGCAAATGTGGATGGTCCTGCTGTCTCTAGCAAGGAGAGGATCACGAACACACACACTGATGTTTTAATGTTTCAATACCAGGTTTCTCGCTTGTCTCAGAAGTGGAACCGGCTGCACGCGCAGGAGGAGGCAAATGCCCAAGTGTACCGGAAAGAGCAAAATGCTCAGGTAAAACGGAAGATTTTCCGTGACTCCTGTTTTCCTACATGCGCAAGGAACCAGACATTAAAGAAAAGCTGTACTTGTAACCATTAGAAATTCCAATAAGAAAGGTCGTATATATTGTTGTTTAATTAAAATTAATTGCTTGACTATGCAATACAATAATTTCACAGAAAGTGTAGAACTTTCTAGGYGGGGAAAGAGAACCTGTTTGTGCGTGTAGTAAATAGCTGCAAGTTTCTGGATGGTTTAGCCATTCCCTCTTAACCCTTTGTCTACAATGTTCACATACATTTCCCTTTTAACCATTTGTCACATACATTCACAATGTTCATATACAACGTACCTCAGGCTCTGGTCCTGGAATGAGAAATTATAAAATCCCAAAATAGGAAGACTTTTAACATTCTTTTGGGACTCTTGCTCATGTGTCTTTAAGTGTCTTAATGATGATGAGAAACATTTTTAGTATATTAACTGTTATTATCTCATCTAGTTAGCGTGTCACTGCAGTTTATGAAAAGGTAGATAGCTTTAAAAAATACAGGAAACAAGCCACTGAGAAACTGAGGTTATTGTTTGCRATATCTTTTAATAAAAGGTTGAAGATCTGTGAATGCAGCTTCTCTGGTTTGAGCTAAAGAATTTACCCAGTTAAGGAAGTGATTTAATCTGGCAAAACTTAAACAGGCTTTATTGTGTGGGTGTAAGTAGTGCACTGAATGAAGGTACAAAGCCCTGTTGTTTTCTCACGCTGGGCCTGAATAGGTCACTGGGGTGATACCTGTGGCTGTTGGAGCAGTTAGTGCCTTTGAAGGCTGTTGCATTTCATGCTGGTGAGGAGGAATTTTCTTGTTACACCTTTGAGTGCAGCGATTGGATTCCAGACGCTGTTTTAACATCAGTTATTTTTACACGTTTAATCTTCACTGCTGTTAGTATGAAAGACTAAAATTACATTTTAAAATCTCTGTAGACTTAGCAAGAATGATCTTCCTAGAGATGAAAAGCTTGAGGAAACTTAAATCTATTTGTAAACAGTCAAAAGTCAAAACAACCAGACCTTAAGTAAGGCTACAAAATTATTATGGGGCTTGTTAATTGAAGTTTGTTATCTCTTAATGACTGTTAAAATTATTGCTTCAGATTCTTTAGTTTTCCTTATGTATATTTTTTTCWTCTAGGAACTGGAATTAGAAAATCAAGACTTGAAAGATCGAATGAGAGAAGTGCAAGAGGAGCAAAGGATGCTGTTGGATAGAATCAATGGGCTACAGCTGCAGCTGAATGAGGTAAAACTATATTGGAATAACGTGACTTGGGACCTGGACTAACCCCSTGACACGGACAGTGGAAAGCAGTTGTTTTGTCCTGTTGTCTTTCTTGTGTTCCTGTAAATTGTCTCTGYTGTGTATCACTGTCACTATCTTCTCTGTAAAGGAAGGTAATGTTTGGTCTTGTAGTGATACTTAAACTGTGATGAGACTGCTCACAACTTCTTCTGTTCATCCTCGTAAATTTGAGTGCCAGCTTTTATGGCTATTCTTTTTAATGTAATCATGATTTTTTTTGTGTGTGTATATGTAATTTCAGAAAGCAAATTAAATCTGCTCAGTTAAATGTAGGTGTTGTATGTGAGCACATATGGTGTTTATTTTTTGTCCAGCTATTAGTATCAGTAGAAATTTATAAAGAACTCTTCAGCTGGCAAATAAATAAAAAAGGCATTCTCGGTACAGAATCTGTCACCTTAATTTGAAACTGTCTTCTGAAATATTCTCTGTATTTGGAGCACTTGGGATGGCCAGATGGCCAATTCTGGAGAAAAGCAAAACAGAATTTTKTGTTTTGTTTTCTGGAGTTCACTTTTTCCTGCATTTCATTTCTGCAGGATGTGCTATTTAAAGTGTGAAACTTCCTCAGTGGAGCATAAAGAAAACCAATATGTCTTCACATAAGCTTTGTCCTAGAAGGTCATCAGACTTCTGAGCATTGCCTTTAAAACAAACAAACAAAACCCCCTTAACATTCATTTTCCAAAATCAACAAGTTTCTACTGAAAAACTACCTTTCTTCCTCAGTGAAAGACAGTTATAAAGTAGTTAGAAGATTTCCCATTTCTTATTATATGTTCCAGGAAACATTGTTCTGTCAAACATCCTTAACTTACTTTCTTTTTCCTTTCCAAATGTTAGATGGTAAATGGAAGGGGAAAAGTGTATTGGGAGCCGGCAGTGTTGTAAGCTGGGCTAGACTCATCAGTTAGTGATCTATATGTAAGCCCCTTAAACACTATTGAAAAATGATTTTGGGGTGGGGGGGATTTTTTATTTTTATTTTTGCAGGAGCAAATGTTTGCAGATGATCTTGAAAATGAGGTAGGATATACACCTTTAAGTGTAATAAAGCTGTGAAACTATAAAATAGGGAAATTGGTTGTTGTATTTAAGTTGCAGTATTAGGGAGAAAGTTATTCATAAATGCCAAATGAASTGCATAGAGGTACATATTTGTTTTATACAGTTGTACATCATTTGTTACTGCAAACAATGATGTATATAGGAGCATCTCTTAAGTAGTGACTTCTAATAATGCAAAGCYAATAAATGCAGATATGAGGTTAATGCATATTCCCATGACTTTATTCATTCTTGTAGAAGAATTTTAGATTTGAGGAACTAGTGGTTGAGTATTGACATTGGTTGAGTTCATCCGCATTTATGTACTTATTTAAAAATTTGGCTATTGTGGCTTTGACACTTGTGCTCTCTTTCAGAAAGATGAGTTGAAGAAGATGTTAAGTTCCAAGGAAAAGCAACAGGAAGAAAGCCTAAGAACTATTGAAGCTCTGAAAGCTAAACTCAAATATTATGAAGTACGTCAGTTGATTGGAAGCATAATGTAGTGGTTATGTATTGTAGTAAATACTGAAGCAATTGTTTGCAATTGTCCCTGCTCTTTAATTCATAGTTAAATATAGTAGGAAATTTTGAAATGAACTTTCAGTGATACTTATACATTTTCTGCCTCTTGTTTTCAGGTTGACTTYGTGGGCTCTGGAAGTAATTTTGGGAATAGTAAGTATATTTAATTCTGATTAACTTGTTATGCATGATGAAATGTTAAAATACAGTGCTGAAACTTCTGCTGTCTTTTCCTTTAGCCTGTCTTAGCTATAGGGAGCCTCACTGCCCCGCAACCTCAGCGAGCCCGGCTGCTCTGCTTGTGTCTGTGCTCGCTTGCTGGGGTGCCCTTGAACTGCCGCACGTTGCAGTGACTGAGCTGTGAAATCCACATTGTTTTTCATGCTCTTAGAGGACATAGGGGAGTTACAGTCTGAGCAAGATCTGTGATTCAAGCTGAATCCTTCCATTCCTGTTCTTTGCATCTTAATTGCTGATTCCAGCCCGTCTCGATTCTGGTTTCTCCTGTTAAGCAGAACAACTGTGGTCGTTGTGAAAACCTTAGTATGGGCAGATAGGACCATCACTTACAAAGAAAAGCTGCTGCTCTCGATTTCACTGGAACAGACTCCATTTCYGCCGACTGAAGCTCCCTATGTCCTATTTGGTCGCAGGCCTGTCTTGCACTTACGTAACTTAGTGTCATTTAGCCTGTCATAAACCTGTGGGAACAAGTCACGTGGAGCGCTTTTCCAGGCCATGTGCATGTGCTGCTGTGCAGCTAAATCCAGGGGACTTCCGTAATGTTTTGCAGACCTCTGCATTAGGGATGTCTCTTTTCCTATGGGAGTTTGTGCAGGCTCCATTGTGGGACTGTACTAAGGGGCTGTCATCTTGATACGAAATTCCTCAGCACCCACCTACCGCTTTGTGCAGTGCCACTGAGGAGAGCAGGATGAAGAAGGGAAGCAGTTCTTGGGATTGTCTTGCTGCTTTTAAACAAAGACTAAATGCTCTTTGCTTTCTGAAAATACAGGAAAAGAAGAATTGCTGCTTAAACAAGGTCAAGTGTTTGCTGTGGAATCACAGGTAATAAATACTCACCGTCTGGAGAATTACGATACTTAGTTATGACGTTTATGCTTGGGAAAACTGTATTTACTCGCACACCCTGTGTATCCATTAAACACTGCTTCTGAATACAAAGTCTGCAAGCACTTGCCTCACTACACTTATTTTGCAACTCGTGGTGCCCTCTAGAGTCACTTGCATAGCATAGCTCTAAATGCTGTGAAATAGTCTCTGTCACTCCCTTGTTGGTCTGCAATGGCCATTCCCAAACCTGGATCACCAGCTGCGGGACCAAAAGTCACTGTTGAGAGTACTCGATCATTCTTCCCTTAAATTCAGATAACTGCCAGGAAACCAGATTTCCTGAGTTTTAAATAATTATCTACCAACTTTGTCTGGCCTTGTCTAGCCAACTGTTAAACCACAACTTGGTTATTTGAGACCTATCGTGCTTTTTGCAGCGAGCAGTGTATGACAGGGCTTAGTCGTAACTGGCAAATTGTTCTGATAATTGAGTCCCATCTGATGTGCTTCCAGATATTCTCATACATTTGGGAAGTGGTGTGGAATCTGCTAATAAATTAAAGTTCAAGCAGATGAGTAATTAAATATGAATAATATGGTAAAATGAAATGAGCATTCCATTGTATTAAATGTCAGTAGGGTCTGATGACTGAGGATCATCAATGTAGAACTACAATCAAAATACCTTTATCTGTTAAAACTGAAACGTTTTCCATAGTATGGGCAAGAATAGATTAAGATACTTAACCAGAAGCCTCTTGGGGAGATGAATTTTTATGCTCAGTAAAAATCTTAAGGTAGGGGTGTGTGTATGTGTATATATGATATGGTAGGTAAATGGTCAAAATTTTAAACATATCTATTTCTGTGCAACTTCAACTGCAGTCCAAGTCTATGCTGAGACCCCTGGAGCTCTCTCTGCCAAACCAATCATCCAGTTCAGAGAAGGAAGCTTTGAAGAGAGAGCTGGACAACGTGAGGACCTGCTATGGTGCCGCCAAAGAGGAGATCAGCAAACTGCAGAGAGAGCTGTCTCGCAAGGCCACTGAATGTAAAGCTTTGGCATCAGAGTATGAAAGAACCAAGGAGGAATCCGATGGGCAGATAAAACAACTGGAAGATGCTTTAAAAGACGTGCAGAAGAGAATGTTTGAGTCAGAAGGCAAAGTTAAGCAAATGCAGACCCACTTTCTTGCTCTGAAAGACCACCTGACTAATGAGGCGGCTTCAGGAAGCAGTAAGCTGGCAGAGGAGCTGAAGGATCAGCTGAAAGAAATGAAGGCCAAGTACGAAGGAGCCTCTGCTGAAGTGGGTAAACTAAGGAACCAGATTAAGCAGAATGAGTTGTTAGTGGCAGAGTTTAAGAGGGATGAAGGAAGGCTGGTGGAAGAGAATAAAAGGTTGCAGAAGGAACTTGGTAAGTTGGAGATGGAGCGGGATACAGGGGAAAGAAACATCACAGAGTTAGAAAAGCGGCTCAAAGAAACAGCAGAGAAGCTAGCCCACTCCGTAAGTGCAGAGAAATTTGAAAACATGAAGAGTTTGTTATCAAATGAAGTGAATGAGAAAGCAAAGAAGTTAGTAGAGATGGAAGGAAAACATGAAAAACTGGAGGCAGAGATTTGCCTTTTAAGGAGGGAATCAGAAAGTCAAAAAGCTGAACTCATTCAGCATGTAAAGCCGGAAGAGCACGAGCGAATGAGGAGTAGGTTTGAGCAAAAAACTGAGGAACTTGAGAAAACAATTTCTGAATTATTACAGAAGAATCGGAGTTTGCAAAGGGAAGTTGACAAAGTGCAAGTAGATAATAAGATGCTTAAGCAACAAATCCAGATGATAAATACTGAAATTAAAAGCCAGAATGTGCCTTTAAAAGTTCATGAAGAGCTAAAGAAAACAAATGAACTGACCATTGATGATCTGACCAGAAAGGTTTCTGAAATAACCAAGAAATACAATGAAAGCAAGGGAGAAGCTGAAAAGTTGCTGGAAGAGAAGAACAGCTTAAGTGAGAACCTAAGCCACCTCCAAGCTGCGTACCTGTCCCCAGAACAGCACAAAAAAGAAGTAGAAGCTTTACAAGCTAGTGGCCTTGAGCTTGAAAAGCAGCTCGCTGAGCTTAATAAAAAATATGAGGATGAGCAAGCCAAAGTGTGCAAGCTGGTGTCGGAGAACACTACTGTAAAAGAAGCTCTCAGGGATCAGTATGTGTCGGTTACAACGCATGAAGAGGTTAAAACAGTCTTGAATAACACCCTAGAAAAGACTAATGCGGAGCTGTCGGATCTGAAGGGAAAAACTGAAGACATAAAGAAGGAATTCATGAAGGTAAATGAAGAAAATGCAACTTTGAAAAACCAGGTGAAACTCCTGCAGAATCAACTACAAACTGAGTATATAAGTTTAAGAGATCATGAGTCTAAAGTGAATACTTTAAATAAAAGYGTGAAAGAACTTCAGGAAAATAATATTGAGATTATGGCTGGGTATAAAAGGGGTCAAGAAGAAATTTTGCAGTTACATGCAGAAATAGAAGCCCAAAAGAAGGAACTTGACACAATTCAAGAATGCATTAAGTCAAAATATGCACCAGTTGTCTCCTTTAAAGAGAAAGAACAAAACTTTGAAGCCACAGTGAGAGAACTGAAAGAGCAGCTGTTGGAGCAAACACAGAGGTGCAGGGAAAGTGAGGAAGAAAGCAGGAAATATCAGCAGGAAAACGAAAAGCTCAAGAGTGGTATTTTGTCTGTCCAAAATGACTTGCAGCAGAACTACATCCTTGCGGAGAAATCCCACGAAATGGAAAAAATGTTCACAAGCAAGATGGAAGAACTGAATAAGCAATTGAGAGAGCTGCTGCAGAAATACACGGGCAAAAAAGCAGAGGAAGAGGAGCTGCAGGAGGGCACGGAGCGGGCCCTGGCTGCGCAGGCCCGCGGGGAGAGCCGGCAGCCGCCCGTGGGACAGTTTGAAGGCCTGAAGAAGGCTCTTGGTAACACTGTGGAGGATCTAAAGGAAGCCTTCCGAAGGGAGAAGGAATGTTTTGACAGAGAGACGCTAAAAGTTGGAGAATTGCAGCAGGAACTGTCAGATCTGAAAAGTTCTTCGGTACCTTTGGCAGAATATATGCAAATGAAGGAGACGCTAGAACAAGAAATCGTAGCAGTCAAAAAAAGCTTAAAAGAGAAGGAAGAAGAAAACGACGTTAAAGCCGAGGAAGTCGTGAAGCTGCAGTGTGAGGTGGAGGCTGCCCGGCGAGCTTTGGCCGAGCTGGAGAGCAAAGAAGTGATTGACGTAGCTGAATACGAATCCATGAAAAGTAATCTGGAGGCCCAAGTCAATAGCATAGCTGAAAACTTGTTCAGTGTGAACAGAAAGTATGAGGAGGCATGCGAGGAGGCTTTGCAAGCTAAAAAGAGCGAGCTTTCCTTAAAAGGTGAAAAGGAATTGCTTCAATTGCGGAGCTGCAGCATTGAGCAAGAAATCAAAGACCAGAAAGAGAGGTGTGATAAATCATTGACAACAATTATTGAACTGCAGAAGAGAATACAGGAATCTGCAAAGCAGGTGGAAGCCAAGGATAACAAGGTAGGAAGTAAATGCCCCAAATGCTCTCACTTTAGCTCTAAGCAATTAGATTTTCAATTATAGCAACTCCGGGTAGTTGAGAATACTTTGTACTGAGTTTTSTTTTTGTGATAACATCGTACTAAACTTTCCTAATTGTTCATTTATGTCAGACGTAGTTTGTAAGTAAACTCAACCTTTAAAATTCCAGCATGGCTGTATCGGATATTTTTGATTTTATGTGTGGGTAAGCTGATTATTGCATTGCTTGGATGACTTACGTGCGTCCAGTTTGTAGCTTGATTTCCATCCGTTGATATGTTGTTGCTTTCTGTGCAAAAGACATTGACAGCCTAAAATCAGGATGAAGAAGTGAATCATGAAATTGGGACCCATGTGGCTTTGAAATGCCTAACTGGACTTATTAAAGGGCTTAAATGGSTCTGCTTCGTTTTGACAGATTCAGTTAGTTCAAGGGTGATTTCTTGTGGTAAAATACAGGATTARGGAACACAATGCTGACTTTGTTCTAGAAGATCTTTAACATTATGTTCTTGAACTGTTATTTTCCATTCCCACGTTTCTTCTTCGGACACTATGTTTGTGTAGATCGGAGCATATTTGTTTAATTTCTCTAGCCTGCTTTTTGATTGTTCAGTGTCCTCCTTGGATCTGAGACCTAAAATGTCTTTAGACCACGAGACGTTCGGGTGGCTCAGAGGGGTCCCTGTGCTGTGGGTCTCGGTGCTGGGGAGCAGGGTGTAACCAGTGGTAGCTTGTCAAGCAAGCGAAGCTGTGTCTGTGCACTGTTAGCTGGTGTGGTTGGTGTGCGGTGACAGATACCCCTCGATATTTGCCAGTCTTCATTAAGCTTTAGAGAAAAAATGTCAAGAATGTTGCTTTTCACTAAGTAAGCAATCCCTAACTGAGGTTTTTGTGTTCTTTTAAAGATAACAGAACTGCTTAATGATGTCGAGCGATTAAAACAAGCTCTTAATGGATTGTCTCAGCTCACATACACCAGTGGGATTCCCTCAAAAAGACAGAACCAACAGGTTGAAATGCTGCAGAACCAAGTGCAAATGCTGCAACAGCAGCTYGCTGTAAGTAATTCTGCAAGCCATTGCTCTGAAATGTGGGGGAACTTTTACAGAGGGAAATTTCTCCATGGTCGTTAGAGCCCTGGAGCTGCTTGTGGGCCCSAACTCTGTGGACAAGTGAATTGCTGACGTGCTGCTCCGCTCCACCAAGGCCACCGCGGTTCGGMGATGTGGAGGTGACGCCTGCACGTCAGAGCTGTTCCAGCTGACGTGGGCTCAGAAAAAGTTACCAGGAGAAAAACTGTGCTCACTAGTTAATGCAAAGACCATTTCTCCGTGCAGGTTCCAAAATAAATGTTTCTTTTCCAAGAAAAACAACACCTACCGTGTCTCTCCTGGCCGTGCAGGAAGAGAAGAGGTCCCCTCTAAAGGACTTGGTGGCTCTGCGTTCCCTTGTGTGCACTTACCCTGCAGTGTAGTGCTTATCAGAGTAACGGTAGAGGGAATACTGCATGGCAGGGTCGGTGGGTTTGTGTTCAGACGGGGCTGTTAGTGGCCCCTGTGACTGCAGGAAAGCTTCCCATAATTAAAGCTGTGTATGTAAGCAAAGCTGTATATTTTGAAATCTGTGCAGAATTAGGAAATATTCTTAATAGCATTTACAAGGTTGAGCTGTTSAAACCTTTGCTTTAATCTCCTCCCTTCCCTATTTCTTTTATAGGATGCTAAAAGGCAGCATCAAGAAGTAATTTCAGTTTATCGGACACATCTTCTTAGTGCCGTACAGGTATGTTAGCTTGTCATTGCCTGACTGGAGAAAGACACTAGTTTCTGTTTTATGGGAATATTGCGAGTAGACTTGAACCTAAAATCAAGTGTCTGCTTTCAGCTTGAGAGTTTTAGAATGAATTTAAAGCAAAAAATACATAAATGGAGTGTGTTTGTTGTTCCATTTCCTTACTGCCATCCATATACAATATCACTGTGTATATCAACTATTTGTTTTTAGGGCAATGTGGGTGGTGTGTGTTGTTAATCCATCATCCTTTCAAATAATACTGATAGAAGCTGTGTGGATATTGGGAACTTTTAATATAGCCTGAACCCAGTGGCTCTCACTAGGGGAAAAAAAGAGTAACTCATTCTGGAACATTATGATTTCAGATGCTTAAGCACACAAAATGGGTATCACTGTTGCAGCAATAAGCTGTGGAATCGAGCAAATGAACAATAATTATTTCTCAAATATAATTTTTGAATAGCAAGCTTGTGCACCAATGAGACGGACCTTCCACTCCCTGATGAGAAAGCAATAAAGGCATCCTTAAGTATTTCAGATTTGCRTAGAGAGCAATGAGGAGGGGAAAAAAAACCCCACAAAACCCCAACCAAACAAAAGAAGCCCCCAGAGAGGGGTTAATTCTTCTGGGCAGAATCTTGATGGTAGCTGTGGATGCTGATGCTTGGGGCCTGTGCCTCATCTAACTGAAGTATTTGCTTGCTTGCTCCAGGGTCACATGGATGAAGATGTCCAAGCTGCTTTACTACAGATCATCCGAATGAGACAGGGACTCGTTTGCTGACGTACTTAGTGCCCTTGCCCTCGAGGGCTGCTGCGTCTCRCAGAGGGCTCTGAAAGCCTCGGGGAGGTTTGTAGTAGCATATTTGCCGTTAGAACCCYCCAAGAGCTCTCCAAATAGGAAACAATTGGTGAAGCTGAAATACTTTCTCAGAAAACAGTAGAAGATGACGACAAAGTTTGAGACCTAACRCTTATTTCAGTAGATTAATAAATGAATTGGCTTACAAGTCAAAGTGATGACAATTTAGGTAAATTATGATGCAGTCAATCTGACTCTGAAATAAGATAAGGCCTATACCCAGAAATTCTAGTTTTTCCTATAACTTGAACTCTCATGGTATGGTTGAAAATAAACTGCATTCAAATGAGCTTGGCTRAAGTATTGTAGCTGTTGAATTCTCTTAATCCTTAAAAAATAAGCGGCTATCCCATTTTTCTCTTAGGTTGATCAAGACATTGCAATGTGCTTAGGTCAGCTGCAAAGCAGGATGGAAGGTATTTAGATGTATATTGTAACTTGGCTGGCCAAGTTACGGAGCTTATTTAAGTAACTTAAGATGTAGTGCCTTTGCTTTTAACAAGTCTTTAATCAGGGTTTCTGCCAAAATACTAATTTTTTATCTCTACCTCCCCTGGGAATCTTTTCATGACTGTTTGATAATGTTGATTACTGCAGGTTCTAAATGTAGGACTCAAGTGCCATGGTTTGTAGAGAGCATTTCAGCCTAAATGCAGCAGTCCTGCTTTTGTATAATTGCATTTTTCTTCAGGCATAATAGGGCTATAAACTGAGCATCTCATTAAGCTGTACATTAGGTAATTTGGATACTGGATTTTAAAACACTTTCTTACAGAAGTTTAAGGTATTTTCCTCTTACATGTAAATTATGTACTATAATCCAGTTATTTATGGGGAAAGATGCAAATAGTAAAATTAATAAAATGCACATTTTAATTAGCTTGGAATCTACCTATTAAACAAGATAGGGCTTCATTTTCAAGTGAAGGTGCAATAATTCCAAGGGATGATGTACCTGACGTAGGTTTTGTGAAAGAAAATACACCTTTTGAATTGATTAGGCTTCTTTCAGTGGCTTTTCCTTTAAACCAGTGTGTTGCTATTTTAACAGAACAAACACTAAGTGTTGCCAGTCCTCAGACCATTTGTTTGGAAGTGCTTGTGTGCATCTAGTAAGCAGGAACCTGGCATCCTGGGGACAAAAGGCAGAGCTTCCTTCGGGGCTCGTAAGGAATAAATTCCGAGGTCTGTKCCTGCTTACTGGGTCTTAATGGCAGCCCAGGAAACGGAACCCTGCAGCCTTGGGGGTCTCTTGCTCTCGCTCTCTCCCTTCTTTATTTTAATAGTAGTGATATATTTGTTTCCTCTCGTGCTCTCTCCTTTGGGCAGCGTCACGACATAGARTGGAAATGACAGCTGCCACCGAGGAGGGGATGCAGGCATAATGATGAATGTGTGGGACAGTTTTATTATATGAATATGCTTAATATATTTGCTAAATACATCTGTAGTACAACAGATCTGCTGCTGCTTTCCTTTAATTTCTTAGAGGATTATTACAGAAGGCATCTCRGTATATATATACAGTAGTTTTTAGCCAAATTCTTTTCTGATTACATGACTTGAAACTCTCATTGGAGAGAAACTGATTGTTTTGCTATACTAACTCTGGTATATTTTRATATTCTGTTTCCTTACTAAACTATCTCTGTGTAATTTTTAAACTTTTCYCGTATTGCCTACCAATAAAGTGTTTTCGTCTTTTTCGTATTGTAGTGGTCAATTCTGTAAAAGATTAAGGAATGTAAATAGTTGGCAAAATAATTTGGGAAGTGAAGGCTATTGCACTTGCTCAGGTGCTCTTGAATGCCAGGTAACAGGTCTGCYCTTTAGATGTCTACCAAGATTGGTAGTTTTTTGTCTACTTGCAGAATTTKTGATTTTAATGGTATTGATTGAGAATCAGGTATAGAAACCAAAGCTTCCCTCAGTTGACTTCTCAGAATAAATCTGTCCTGGCTGCTGCTCCAGCGAAGGGCGTGTGCAGGCTCTTATGGCCGGATTTGGAGCTGGGAAAGAGTTTGTGTTTGGAAACACGTTCGCTAGGGTCCTGCCGCCCTCCCTGGAGTGAATGAAGATGATTTCCTAGGATGATTTCTCTGCTGTAGGGGCAAGAAGCCCTGAGCTTTTGCAGTGGGTCGTGTGCGGCCCTTCCTGCCTGCATGTGGAAACCTTCTCGGGTCACCTTTGCAGTATCTCAGGTGCAACTGAGGGGGAAGCCAGGGACGCATTTTAAAGTAAATTACATGGAACAAATAAACCAATAATAATCCGAATCCATCGTGCAAACCCTCTGCTCCACTCGGGCATCTGAACACACCTTGCAAAGCCTCTGTGCCGCTTGGGCATCCCAACACGGATCATCGTGGCTCATCGAATCCTTACGGCTGGAAAAGACCTTCGAGGCGGCCGCTCCACCTCTTCCCTGCGCAGCCGCTTCCGAAGCTCCGGACTGCCCTTTCTGTGTAGAAATTCCTCCAAACGCCTCTCCTGGCACACCTGGAGGCCACTTCTTTCCCTGTATTTTCATGCAATTAGTGTTTCAGTTTATCCTGCATATACGAAGTATTTTACTTAGTGAACTAGAAATTAGTACATCAGTACTAGTAAATTWRYWAATTTACTAGTACTTACTTAGTAAATTAAAAGCAGAGGCTGCCATGAGGGAGAAGTTTTATCATTCAAAAGCAAAATACAGAATTCGATGTCTTTCAAAACATACTGCCTACTGAGCTGCACAGAAAGGGAAAAACAGGAGAAAGAAAGAAAACGTCCCAAGTGCTTTGGGACCCCTGTTTTTTTAAAGGGGGTCTCCTCCCGCTCACAAACACCCTGGGACATCCCTGCTTGAACCGCTGCTCAGCCTGCACCAAAGCAACAACTGGTCCCTCCTGTGTGACCTCTGCTTTAAGCAGACGATTTTGAACAACATAGACCAATTTCAACCACAGAATTGCCTTAATACATTGTATTTAAAGTAGTTCTAAGTTCCCAGCAAAGCCGCTTTGCGAGTGCGAAGCCCCAAGTTTGGGGCTTGCGAGCGCTGCGAGCCGGCGCCGTGGCGGCCAGAGCCGGGTCTCGGCATGCAGGACACGGTTTCCCTCTCCCTTTGGGGCTCCCTCTCCCTTCCAGACCGCTCGGCGTTTGCCTTCTCGCACCCCTGGCCAGGGCGCTTGTTTCGCATAAAAAACAGTGATTTTTGGTGGGACTATCTGCTTATTTCAAAACAATTTCAGCTTCATTTCCCCCTAAACTTGGGACGYTTTCTCTATAATACTGAGAAAATATTAGCATTTTGCACCTAGCAGGTGCAGCCACATTTCTCTTTCCAAAGAACTTGCAGGGTGAAGTGCACATCTGCAGCAAAGCTTGCATATTCCTGTTCATTGCCCTCAACCGTAATCAAACATATATATTCTAAAGATGAAGCCTACTTTATGTTCTGTAAYCCTTAGGAGAATGACCCATTGCACCCTGCGTGTTTGAAGTCTTAGCTAACCTTTAATCATTTGGTGCTGAGTCTGGCTTTGATTTTTTTGCTGGGAAAGAAAGTGGGTTTTTTTTTGCAAAATCTTTTCCTCAGACCRAAAATAAGCTAATTCCTCAGCACTTCGCATGGAACTGGGGCTATTGAGCCGAAACCCTCTTGGGGGATGYCTGTGAAACGAAGCCCTCCCCGTCTCCCTTCGCGCGCCCCATGATGGAATCGGAGCCAGGAGCTCTGCAAAAGCAGAGTGACGGCAGGTGCTGCCTAACTGGCACCAAGCTGGTAAGTGAAGTGGCCTCTGCCATGAGAAAAAGTGCAGTGAAAATTCTTCCTGCCTTCCCCGGCGCGGGTGTGTGGTGTGGGAGCCTCAGCTGATGCCTGTTGAAGTTCTAGAAAATAGAGTCTCCCTGTTTTCTTCTGGCTTTGGCTGGGAGCCTGAGGAGCCGAGTGTGAATCCTTGCACAGCGTGAGGTGGGCAAGGACCCGGGTCCTTGGGTCAGACCRATCTCGCTGCGCTTTTCTCCAGGGCAAACTGGAGTTTCCAGCATTTCCAGCCTCCCGATTCTGCTCCGTGCCTTGCCAGGGGTTGCTTTTCAGGGTAATTCCCTCCCTGTAGCTCCCTGAGCTGTGTTCTTCCCCCAGGAACAGGAAACCAACTCGGCTGTCTCCAGCTGCAGCCTGGCAAGGGCTGATCAATGGCTTTTTGAGCAGTGATTGCAGCAGGCGGTGGTGTGGGAGAGCCAGCAGCTTGCAGCGGGGTCACACGTGCAAGAAGTGTCTGTGTTGGGAAGGGTCTGCCCTGGTTGTGCGGGGAGCCGAGCCCTGGGTCTGCCCTGSGGCAGGGGAAGCTGCAGGGCTGAAGTGCCCGGGACGGGACTGGGGGTCTCCGGGAGCCCCGTGGTGGCCCCGACATGAAGGGCCCTGTGGCTGGGGGGGATCCTGGGCTTCCCACACTGGGGATGGGCCAGGCCGCCTTCCCTCATCCCTCGGATGTGGGGATGGAGGGCGGGGGCAGCAGGAGGGAAATCCCTGGGCGTTCCCGGGGGATATTGGGGCTGGGGAGCGGGGCTGTTTGCTCCTGCTCAACCTGCAGCATCATGGGCCATGCTCCTCCTGCGAGGAGGGTCCTGCTGAACCCCTGCACCGCGGTCAGCGCTGCCCATGCCCTGCAATTCCTGCAATTCCTCGCGAGCGCCGGGCTTGGAAGGTGCCTGCTCCCCTGCATCGAGATCTGCTCGGGCAGCTGCGGCTCTCCGGCGGCCAAGGACCTCTCCCGGTAAGCTGAGAAGCCGGGAGAGGCCTCGGGTTTGGGGGCTTCACTGGGATGGGGTTTTGCTCTGGTTCCCAAATCCCCCTCTGCCTGAGCTCCCCGTCCGTGCGCTGGTGGTAAAAGAGCCCTGGGTCTCCCCGGGGCTTGTGAGGATGAACGCGGTTTGTGGAGCGCTGGACGGGGAGAGATCGGGCTGGCGGGTGCCGGGAGACGCCGGTTGCTCCAGCACAGCCCGGCCCTGGTCAGCCGCGCTCCTTAGTCCCTTTGTTCCCTGAATGGGCCCGATGGAGCGACTCTGGTGCTGGTGGTCCCGCTGTGCTGCTCAGTCCCGGGCTGCTCTTGCATTTAAAAACAAGTGGTGGGATTGCCCTGGGGAGATGCTGCTTCCACGGGGAGCGGCACCCGYGGGCCCCAGCCCTGGTGCCACGCGGGATCCTGTACCCGGGAATAGCTGGAATACGGAGAGGCGCTGGCACCGCGCCAGCGTGCGAAGCTCGGGGGGTCCTGTAACAGGAAAGGGCTGCTTTACGCTGCTGGAAACGTAAACGTAATGGCTCAGCGGGGCGGCTGAGCCCGGCCCTGGGCCCGCGGGGCGGGTTTGGGTGCGGATTGCGGCAAACGTCGCTCCCAGGCGCCCCCGGCCGGCTGTGGGTGCGGGCCCGGCTCCCCATGGGCTCCCCATGGGCTCCCCATGGGCTCCCTGTGCTCCTCCTTGTCGGCACCTTTGGAGCAGGGCCCATTCCCGCTGTGCACCCCTGCCTGGCGCTCCCGTTCCCACTCCTTTCAGCTGCGGTGTGGGAAAGGGGGTACGGAAAGGGGCACGTCCCCCTCGTGCGGGTTCCTCCCGCGCCAGGCTGCGGATCCCTCCTCGCCAGCCCCAGGCTGGGACCGGCCCCAGGCACGGCTCCAGGGCCTCGATATCCTTGAAGACGTTCGCATTAATCTCCCAATTTAAGTGCTTAGCACCGTTTACAGCATCAGCTGCCTCGGGGGTTACGGAAAGGGGACACAGTCAGCTGGGCTTCCTCAATTATCCTTTCAGTGAGCAGGAAGGATGTCTTGTCCACGGAGCAGCAGTGTCTGCCTGCTCCGTAACSTCCCCAAGGGAGATTCGCTTAACCTCCTAATGCCCAAAGTTTCCAGGTCRACCCTCTGTTTCCTCGTTAGAAGTACTTGCAGTCAGTGAGAATTGGAGGTTGCTCATAGGAGCACTCGGCTTCCTTGGTGGAGATGTTTGTG